AATGCAGCTTCTAGAGCGCTCCAGCTCCCTGGCACCAGTAAAAGCCTCCACAGATGCTGACAAACCTGGACAGTCTCCTGCCGTGGTTATTTAGCTTTAATACACTTACTGAATGGAGACTACACTGTTTAGCTACAAGATTATTTCCAGATGTAAACAACAGAGAAGAAACTGGCAGAGTAACAGATACTAGCCCTCACATCTCTAAGGTGGCTCTTTTCACAAGAGGAGTCCAATTTTCTGCTAGCAGAAAACCAAATTAAACACTGTCCTTGATTCAAAACCCAAATGCCTTTAAATGCTCTCAGATAGATAAATACATCACAATCTATGTAAACATGGGATCAAGATTTCAAACCTGCTTTTCAAAATATTGCTTATAATTCAAAGATACTTCAAATCTTGCTCTATCAAAGAAAAAATGAAAATCTGGAAGACCTTCCTGTGGAGTTTCACATGCCCGTCTGTACTGCAACTTTAAAGTAAGATCTTGCCTGCAAGAGAAAAGCAGCACTTGTGATCAGCACACTACATGACCTTTTCACCTTTTTTTTTCCTGACAACAATATTTAGAAAGATAACATAATCTTAAAATAGACTGAGAAGACTTTGGATTCACTGTCTACTAGTAAGTCTGTAGTAAAAAGTTCTAGCATCTTTTAAAACGGGAATTTAGAACATATCTTCAATGATTTCCCCTAGTACTGGTGATCAGCAAGTTTATATATATGAAACAAATGTATTAATTGCCTGGACTTTTGGGTAACAAAAACCCACCAAAAGGTTATACTCTATGAATGTCTCCACATATATGATCTTAGATTAGAACAGTTCCGTTGGAAGGGACCTGCAGTGATCATCTAGTCCAACTGCAAACTTGAAAATAGCCTTAAATACAAAAAAACCCAAAGAAACCCCCCAAAATAAACATGCTGCCAAACACATGGCTGCTTCACCACTGAACTGCCAAAGCTTCATGGCTTGATCCGGCTTCTCCTTTTGCCAGTCCTACACGGCTTCTAGAAGTCCTCAACAGATTCAGACAAGCGTTTGTTCAGCACAGCCTGTTCGTAAAACACAGTGACTATGGACAACTTCCAACTCATCCTATCTGCGACTCCTAAATATTGCTCTGACCTGGGAGGAAAGTGACTCCCAGTTTGCACACTGGTTCAAATCACAGGAATCCACTGCAATATCAAGCTTCCAGTATAATTACACAAAGTAGCATACATTCCAAAATAAAATTTCACAGCGCTTTTATCACTGTAAATCTCCTGTAATATTTTAATCCTGTAACAGAAATCTGACTAATAAAAAACACTTGTTATAAACAAAAGCACTTTCGTGATGGAAAACCAAAAGCACACTCTGTCAGCAAGATACTTACTATAAAAATACATAATTAGGTACACTGCCTTAGAATTGCACCCTGTATTTTGGAAACAGTGGCCAAACTGATACACCGCCATCTTCCCATCTGCTGAGTAACTAAATTTATTTTTCACTTGTAACTATTTTTATTCACTAATTCAGAAGGTTTCCAAAACAGCAGTCACAACTGATTTACATATGATTAATTCTTCATTACTGCAATTTTAATCTAAAACAAGGTTATTTTGCAGCATACCTATGGACTCAAATACGATTGTCTGAGTTTCCGAATCCAGTTAATATATTTATTTATACTTCTTTCAGCATGGTTCAGTTGAAAACACTTCGCAGCTATTGGAAAACACTTCAATATGTACTATTGTCATAAGAACAACAAAGCAACTTACAAATATCTTTGACAAGTGAAGGTGGAATAAACACCATAGAAGCTGACATAAGGGACGTCATAAGAGGCACAATATTTAAAATGCCATATTCATTCATAGTTTCTAGAATGAAATGTTAAATGCACTTTAATTTCATTTTAAACTCAAAAAAACTAGGAAAACAGCCAACCAGCAACTGAACACAGGAAAAAGGGATTACATTGACTGATTAGTATTTCAACTCAGCTGCTCCTGGAATTTTTCCTGATCACTTCAATAATATGAAGTATATTCTCCAATGACGCCTGCAAAATGAATTAGGTTAAATTACATTTCATAAATTAAACAAGTTATTTAGATATTCTTATAAATAGTCATCATAGTTTTGAACTGAACTGTTCACGACATTGCTTAATACTTACAGCATGCAGCTTCTACAATATCATTTTTACCCAAGCAATGCATGGAGAAAACATTTTAAAATAAAATATAAAATTTTGAAAAACTGAAGCAACCGCACTTCCCAACAATAAATTAACTAACATCTGTTGTAGAAACTGCTTGGCACTTGTACAGTTTTGTGAAGGATTTTTCTTGTAGATAAATATTTTTCTACAATTCCTATTAAGAACCACTCAACTCGGGCGTTTTCTTTAATTATACTCCAAGGGGTCCTTTCATATCCATTAAAGAAAGGCAATTTGTTGCCTAAAAGAATGTGTACATACTTTTAAACTTCAACCGTGATTTGTCTGTCTTCTGACACATAAAAAAGCAAGGAAATACCTATAATTAATGGACTTCTGCAAAAATGTCTAATAAAATGCTCAGTGCTCAACACCTCACTTTTATTAAATACTTAAGTACGTTTGTTTTTTTTTTAAATAAGGAATGGCCTTATGACTCAGCATTTTACTTTCACTTCACATGTCAACAGTACAGCGAAGCCTGTAGGAAACCAAGAAATTTCCATTTTAATGTTGGCAAAACTGAACGAACAGTGCTCCCTCTTTGTATCCACAGCCAGCACCAGACATCATTTTTCAGGGACACTGTTAACCACTTTGTGATGTTTTCCTTCTTTTCTTTTTTTAATTTTGATTTCCACTATTCTTAACTAAAAAAATTTCAAAGACACACACTGAGCTTTTGACAGTTTTCTTTTCCTGAAAATATGCGTAAGCTGTGCACATTCAGCAAAATTCTTGTGTTCAGCATTTCATACAGACTCCAAGTAGCAATCAAGACTTGTTTGCTATGACACTACACCAAAAGATTTTTTTTAAAAGAATATGCATCAGAAACATAATAATGAAATGCTATTGTAAGCATATAAAGATCTACTCCTCTACTGAGGTAACAAGCAATTGGTAATGATGGATGAGGAGAAACTGAGGAGAAATGATAACTGAATATATCAAAGATTCAGTTTAAGCCCAAAAGTCTGTCCACTTGGGGTCAACTGCAAAATGGAGAGTTGCATGTGTAATTTGCTGTAAAGCAAACTAACTGGCATTGTATCCACTATTCTTACGAAACGGGACAAGGAATACTTCTTAAATTGCATCAATATCCTCAATTAACTTTAAACCAAATTTGGCCATTATAAAAAGGAAAAAAGCAGTAAAATAAAAAAATTCTTTAATCACGTGAAATGAGCATTTCCATTGATGGAAACTGTAATCTGTATTGCTCTATGAAAAAAAGTAAAAATCAAAACACCCTAGGTATTCTTGGATGAACAAAATTAAATCAGTTGTGTCTCAGGATATCGTCATTTTACATATACACTTAGGAATACACGCTTTGCCTCTACAATGCACAACAAACCAGAAGAAATTAATAAACTCATATATAAAAATTCATATTACATTTCCTTTAACTATTCATTACTTTTTTCCTAAATCTATTTTTAGATGAGTAAGAGCTAGAACTTGCAGATTCTATCCCTGCATCATTTCAGTTTACTTTTTTATGTAACTTGATATACTAGATACAAATTCCCCCATCCCCCCCCTCCGGATTCTCGAAGGAAAGGGCCAACAACTTAATTAAACATTTTACAGTATAGCTTACACAGTTCTCACTTATTCTCTTCCTCTCATACTAAAAACATCACTATACTCCAGTCATATTTACAATTCTCCATGCTAACACATAATTAGCTTAACTTTTTATCCTCTATTTTTTTTGCTTAAGAAAGGAGGCATAAATAGCAATAAAGCAGTATAGAAAATACATACAACTATACTGTACAAACAGCAGTAAGATCAGTAAGTTTTGCATTGACTTGAACTGGCACGCTTCAGAAAGATCATATTTTAGACAAAGAAGTACACCTAAGAAAGCAACCAGTTTAAATACAACACAGCAACACAGTAAGGTGCTGAAAGAGTTTTCACTCTGCTGTAACAAAAAACACCACGCACATACCAAACAGGAGATTTCACATACAATCTTTAATAGGAAGAGTCCTTTAAATGACATTTATGAGCAGAATGACACAACCAAATTTTAACTTCTTCCTATAACTTCAGAAGGGTAAGTAGAGCTTCTCATGAAGTACCAGTAACTTTCAGCATTTCCTCAAAGGTATGCAACATGATAGGAAAGTAGGTAAGATGAATTTTTCAGAAATTTAAAAGGTACACTAAATAAAACAATTATACAACTTACCATGTGATAGCTACAAATTAGTCAAAGACATTACTCCTTAAAAGAACAAAATCAGAACAAGTTAAGGACTTCAGAACAGGAATTGCAACTCTGCCCTCACATCAGTACAGCTCAGTTCAGAAAAAGAGTTTACATAAAAGACAACCTATGGCTGCAATCTATTGCTTTAAGTAGTTGCAAAGAACGGAGTAATGGCATAGTGCAAGATTAAAACTAATAGAAAATAAAAAAAAACAAGCTAAAATTAAGATAGATATCTCTGTCCCACCAACTTTGGATAAAGAGTATTTTAAAAACTTCTTTTCTCCCTTAAGCAAAAGATGGTAAAAGTGGAAGAACTGTTTCTATCCAAGTATCACTCACCTGTTTTCCAGAACAGCTAGGCCTGTATACAGTGCACTGGACTAAGTTTTTAGGGGCTGGGACTGTTCTTGATCTGCACACTTATAACACAGAGTGACGGAGGCCAGTTCTTAATTAGGATGTCAGGGTAGTAAGTAATATTGGGTCAGTGGTGTGTAGGCAGTAAATACAAACAGGCAAGATGCTGCCTTGTTAACATACCTCTTGTACGGAGCGAGCTGCTGGCTTGTCTTGATGATTGGCCAGTATTAAAAACGGCAAAGTACATAACTGTGGGTGCTGGAGAGCTGAATGCAGTTCATTCCTAGCAGTTTCTAGATCATCTTCAGAGGAGGCACTGTCTAATACAAATATTACCCCTTGGGATCCTTGGTAGTAACGACTCCAGTATTTCCTGATATTGTCAGCCCCTTTCAAGACAATAATAAGAACTAATTAAAACAAGAATAATTAAACAGATTTAACACATCTGAAAATAACCCTTCTACTTAGAACAATCAAAGCAGTGGACAAAAATTCGTCTCCTAAATAATCAGCATTGAAAGAATAAAAAGGAAAAAAGCATCCATAAACCAAATACACACACAAATGTCAAATTAACATTGTTTAAATAAGGAATTTGACTCAATGCAGTTTTCATCCCTGAAAGTTTCTGCTCCATTAATGAGTACTTGCAGAACTACCATGCCTCCAGTGCCACATAGCCTAATCCTAGACCTTCTCACTGAAATATCTTGCTACTAGGATCTAAACCTTTGCCCATTCTTTTTCACTTAGCCCTGCAGCTCCTTGACGTAATCTGTAGCCTCTGTCATGCCATTTGCTTATTGCCAAGCATGATAAGGACTTTCAGTTCACCCCCAAACCACCAGGCAAACACTTCATAATTGGGGAAAAAAGGTGTCAGGAAAACCTATGAAAGTAATTAGACACGTAGTGAGTAGAATGGTGATACAACAGTGAGTTGAATAGTGAATCAGGAGCTATGGCGACAACATGCAAAGGCATTCATTTCATCTACTTTTCCTCTGTCAGCCACACTAAGCATTCTGGAAGAGCACAACAGTAGACACATGACTGACTGCACAGGTTTATGTGCCACAGTAATTTTTAGGACACAGTTCAGCAGCACTCAGCCATCTCAACAGAAGACAAGCAACAAGGTTATGTACAGAAAGCTTTCGTGTCCCCTGGAGAGCAGCATAAGTTGTAACATTGAGGTAGGGAAAAAGAAATTTACTTGACAGCTGTCAAACCATCTGACCTATGACTTGGATATGGGCTATTCTTTGTATGTCTGAATCCGGCACTACACTCATGGGGACGAATACGGAAAAGTGAACAGCAGCAGCAATACACTACTAGAAAACTTGACATGTCTGTGAGACAGTGATTTACAGAAATGTCCTGAAGGTATCCTTTACAGACACTTTTCTTTCTTTGAGATGGGGATAATTGAACTTTAATGTAAACACAGATACCAAGTGCTGATAATAATAAACTTCTATTTTTTAGTGAAACAAAACTACACAAAAGTTCTGTGCAACATACTATAACATTGATATGATACTTAAAACGTTCACTCCATTTATACATTGTACAACAGAAAAGACGGTCACTAAACAAAGCTGAAGAAGTAAATATCTAAAAAGGAATTTACACCATATACTTTGGACACCCAACTCAGAGTACCCAAATCTCGCTCCATGGAGTTACTGTCTCCTCTGTACCAGCCACACTGGAACCATAAGTACTTTGTTTCTGTATTTTACACTTAGAACAATTTAAGTGGCCTAACGAATGTTGTGAACACATACTTTCTTCTACAGAGAATACTGAAGCCACACCCGAAGTGTTTTTCTGCAAGACATCTAAAGAGTTGATTACTTCAAGGTAAATGGCCATGGGATTCAGTCAAGACCTTGCTTAATCACTCTACTAGTTTAACCGGACTCAAAGTAACAATGCACAAACAGGATAGGTGTTTCATTTATTTTATCACCAACTTCTGAAGATCAACATTACTTATACAGAAGAGGGATTGCATTGAAAGCTAATTCTACGTTTCTGTACCACCGGAATATCTACCAATTGTACTTGTAGAGAATTTCATAGCATCTCTTAGATGTCCCAGTCTTTCAAACAGCTGTCTATGTCAGAACCAAGTAGAGCAAATTGCCAGGAGGAACACTATTTACATAGCCACACACAGCAGTGTCACAGGCATCTGAAGTATCACATTACTTTAAAAACTGGTAGAGAACCATTTTCAATGAACTGAAAGGCCAACACCATGATCAGTTCTTTGAAGGTTTTTTTTTTTTTCCTAGCAACATAACATCTGTCTTATTTACTCTAAGCTTCAGCCAGCTACTTTTCAATCACATGTTGCTGACAGATCTTGAGTCTTATCTTTGTAACCATGCTATTTCTAAAGAGAAAAATTATGCGGTGAACTGCAGAGCATTTGACCTCTTGCACCCTGGCATACGGAAGAAAGCAGATCCTGGACCCATATATGGGACACTGGAACCAGAAAAGCAGTATGCCGATTTGTTGACTTTACAGTCCTGCCTTTTCACTTCAGGCTCTTTAGCTGCTCGACTTTGTTTCTGCGCATCAACTGCCCGAAAAGAAACACCATCAAAGCATAGCAGCCCTCTTCTCTCCAGCCCTGGTCAGTCATCGCAGCATAGTTATAAGAACCAACTAACAACGTACAACAAAACTTGGTGCTTCCTTCAGGATCTGCCATTAGAATAATGCCCTGCTCTGAACTTGCTTACACTTCAGTTCTGAGGAAAACACGGCCTGAGGTTTAAAAAATTTGCACTAAGCAGACAAAAGAAGACTCGAGAAAGTCTGTACTGTGGGGTGTCATTTTAACTCAATTTTATAGCAAATACACTTGAAAAATAATTCTTGGCATCAATAACCTATCAGCAACTGGAAATTGCAATTTCTACAAGACAAATCAGCTTATATTCTTTTGCCTTAGCTCTTCATATCCAGGGAGCATAACCTGCTCTCAGCTCCTTCCTCCAGAGTATTAGGCAGTACGCTGTGGAGTTATCCTGGGCAGAGAACACTGTCCTGTGAATAGCAACCCAGCCATTGCACTTTACGACATGACAAACTCAGTCTTTAAGAGCAAACAGTTGTTTTTAAAGGTGCAGTTTAGCACAGACTATCCTATGAATTAATCTTTTCATCTGTTCCAAAGATTTCTAAGAGAGGGAAATTCAAAATCCAAGTTCTTCGGCAATCCAGAATGTAATGTGCATCCATTAAACTTCAGGCTCTCAGAGACCACTTAGATAAAATCAGAAACTTCACTGGTACCCAAAATGTCCTATTAAACAACAGTAACACACAAGATAAGCATTTAGGTTTGTCAGCCTAGTATCTTGTGTTTCTCCAACAGCTTCGCAGGCACATGGCTGACTCTTCAACCACTTTGTGCCTAAACTAAGATAAAAAAGATAAAAAGAAAGAGAAGTAACTTGGGTAAAAATCTCCGAAACATCATAAAATCGTAACAACAATTCACATCAGATCTAGGGAATGTGCTATGTGAAAGGTTCACTAAAATGTGACGGCTGAAGCCACTACTCATGCCTAGGTGTACGACTTGTTTCCCTCAGCAACGAACATACTGGAGTGGGTCGAGTCCTGTGATGTGACTAAAACAACCCATTTAGAAATAAATTGGGGCAGGGGGAATGACACCACACTACAACACAATCACAGCATTTATTAGAAAAGAAACGATAGTGTTCAGTCAAACATAGTCTTGAACTACTTTATCAAAGGAAAAAAACCCAACCTCTCCTTATAGAGAAATGACACAGAGCTGTAATTAAAAACCCCAGTCATTCAGCATTACTAACAAGCAGGTTTATTCAACTAACTGCTCAAAATTTCAGAAAGTTTTCATTTGTAATTTTTAAAATATGAAGTAAATAAACTATTTTTTATTATCAGCCAAGAGTATAGTGTGTCCATATTAACACCATTTTACGATTTGTATCAGCGCCCACAGTACCCTCCCAAATGCCCCTTGGAAGCTGGGGGGAGAGTTTGAGAGTTACATGCAGTCTAATACACATCCAAAACAGGTTGCACAATTATGCAATCCTGTAAATACTATGCAAAACTGCAAATCTTCCTTTCAACTATGAATACTTCTGTTTACGTCTTCACTCACAGCAGTTTGAGGCTACCTTCAATATCCTCCTTTTCAGTACTTTCAGGAGAACAGAACATAGCGTTACAGAAGACATTCACTGAAAGCAATTTAAAGGTGTCAAATATATTACTTGTCAAACTTGCAGAAAATCTCCATTGAGAGCACAACGAATGTCACACAGCCCTTGCTTCAAGACAGTCTAGCCTGCACTTGAAAGCTCTTGTTCACCTCAAAATACATCACAGCTCCAGAGAAGTTATAGTCTCAAACCCAGGAAAGAACGCTTTTTCTTTCCCACCAAAAATAGTTAACCTAGGGCCATGAAAGAATCACAGAATCACAGAATCACAGAATAGTAGGGGTTGGAAGGGACCTCTGTGGGTCATCTAGTCCAACCCCCCTGCCGAAGCAGGGTCACCTACAGCAGGCCGCACAGGACCCCGTCCAGGCGGGTCTTGAATATCTCCAGAGAAGGAGATACGCAGGCTGCAAACAGTTTCTCTACCACTCCCACTATAACAGCCACTCACCTGAAATAAAGACAGCGATCTACTTTGAAGGTTTTATAGTTGATTAAAAAATTATATAGATAATTCCTCTACTGATACTAAACAGACTCTTTCTAATTAGCAAAAAGGTGAAAAGATGCCAACGAAAAGACGCCAACTGCACCACCAAATCTTTTTGCCTGAAAGACTAGCCCATTGATGGGGGAGTAAGAAAGAAAGGAAGGGGAAAAAAAATCTCTCACCTATTCTTGCAAAATCTTTAAATACACCCTACCCTTCCATCCCAAGAAAACCTTACAAAAAGAATTTTGAAATAACTGTTTCTAAATCTACATCGCGTTTATAACCTTCACTTCCTATCACTTCCCCACAAGGAGAACTGACATGTTTTCTTAGGTAATCAGGAAGACGCCTGAAATCTTAGAAATCTTAACACATTTTTAAGATGTGGCTGCTCCCTGCCTATATTAGGCATACTTTCTGTTTAGGTCTTCCAGCAGTCCCCTTGAAGAAATACAGCATATAGATCTTGTTTGTTTGTTTGTTTAACACTAGCTATTCTTCAACCTGTTAGCTCCTTTTTATCACAAAAAAAGTCGCAAATCTTTTCCAAGACAGCCACTTTGTATGTACGCACAGTTAGTCAACACCGACAGACACATCCACGCACACACACTATACAGAAGGCTCCCGTGGGTGGTCAGTCACCATT